AACAGTAGCAAAATTAGTTATGATGTAGCAACGAAAATAATTTTATGGTTGGGGGTCACCACAACATGAGGAACTGTATTAAAGGGGCGCGGCATTAGGAAGGTTGAGAACCACTGTCTTAATGCCTTGTGCTGGGCTTTATTCTCTGTAAATATTAAGTTCTCAAACTTGAAATAACACTCACTTGCCTTTTGGTTTAGAATCAGAAATGGTTATGGGAGGTAGTTGCTGAAGAATGGCAGAGCAGCTGTTGGGGGTGGGAGACAGTCTCCTTAGCCTTGAACTCAATTAGCTACCCCAGGGAGACTTGGCACAGGGGGCTTGACTCCCAGCAACCAAGTTTATAAGATATTATTTCAAAATGCTCACATATCAATCTATAATCTGGGTGAAACGTATCTAACACTAAGAACATTTGGGTCTGCTCTCAAGGGCACCTCCTTTCCATTTGCAATGTGTAGCCCATGGGTGACCTGTGGAAACCATGAGGATCCAGCATGCATCCTTGTCCTGATCCTGGCTCCTTTGTTCGAGCTCTGACAGGGTCAAGGTGTTCCTGCAAGGGACAGACATTCCCAGTACTGACATCCTCAGAAGAGGTGGAACATCATCAAGAAACAGGAACATGGCGGGCAGCAGGCCTTGGGCAGGAAATAGAAGTCACTTGGTTCTGGACATGAAGTCTAGATGCGCCTTGGCACTACCAAGTGGGAAGGGAAGGCCCTGTCCCACTGGAGAGGCAAGCTGGGTTTAGGCAGGGAACCATCCTATGTAGGGACCCCACACTAAGGACCGTCAGACGAGCAAGCTGTGTGAGACTCCCATGTCTGGCAACTGGCAGCCTCTCTTCTACTTGGCTGTTTTGTTTGCCAGTCTAGTGTCTTAAAAGGCAATGTAACTAGGCAACTACATGATGCTTGAACTCATAATACAAATAGTTTTCACTTACTATCTTAAGCCTACCCAGATTGCCTTTGTTAACTGCCTGGACACTGTGGGCATTTGAGTTTGAGGTCCCTCACTAGATAGATGTATATTATCCTTTGGCTATTTCCCTTCTGATTGCTTATTATAATCTTGCCTAAAAGTTCCAGCTCAACTTAGCTATGCATGCTAACTGCACAGTTAATGGGGCTTCCTTGAGGCTGTTACAGAACTTACCAGGCGACTGAAAAATACACAGGGAGTACTCAGAGATCCAGGATAAACCCACTTATTTTCAGATGTACTAGTACAGTGACTCAGGGGGTCAGCTCTCCAAATCCTGAGTGAGTGAATATGGAGGAAGCTTTCCTTTTATACCCTTTGGTTTCTTTGTTTTCTATCTGTTTCCTAACTACCAGGCTTTTGTGGTGGGCTTCCACAGCCCCTCCCGAGTCAGTTAGAATGGAGAAATTAGATTGCATCTAAATGCCTGGTCTGGGGGGTGCCAGTGACCCCCCCCCCCCCCCAGCGCTGTTACATTCTTTGTTTATGGCCCCTTTGTAAAATGGGAGATTTCTGGGAAACAGGTTCTGCCAGACAGGACAGGTATCAATGGAGTTAATTATGCGCTAGCAAGAGTGCGCCTTAGAAGGCAGGTTACTGGCACAGATTCAGATTGCT